ATCCACTACAGCACAGCGCCAACCCCAACGTAGTAATTATTTTTTTTTAAATAGCCTGTCTTCAAACTCTCCAATTCTTCTATTCTTCATCTATTCAGCTACTAACTATGCCTTCTATCACCTTTTTAATTTCACTTAGTGTACTTTTCAGATGAAGGATTTCTGCTTGGTTTTATATAATTACTCCTATCTCTCTATTAAATCTCTCAGAACATTGACTTGTTTCTCTGTGTTCTCTTGAATCTTGGTGAGTTTCCTTAAAACAGCAATTTTGAAATCTCCATCCACAAGCACGTGGGAGTTTCAGTTCCTAGACGGTTAGTTTCTGGCACCTTATTTGCTCTTAATGTAAGGTTATGTTTCCCTTGAAGGTCCTTGATATGGATGTACAGCATCATCTGTATTGAAGGATTTGTTGTAGTAATCTGGCTTCATTTATGTCTGTCCTTCTAGAAATTCTGTGTTTATTTTCTCTGAGCTTATGGATACTTCTGCTGTTACAGCACTAGATAGCACCCTAAGTGGTGGCTGGTTGCAGGTCACTGCTGATACGTCTTTCTGAGCCAGTCCTACAATATTCCCCAAAACTCACGTTTGTCCCAAATCTGTAGTTGGTGGGTTGTCAAGTATGAACTGGGGAAGTGCCTTGAAAGGGGTAGTCTGTCCCTATAATCCTCTTCCTGGGCCTGTGGTAGACTGAGATTCCTTGTCTGTGTATCCAAATGCTGTGATGCTAGATCACCTCTGAGGCCCGCAGCCTAGCAGGACTAGTATGGTCTGGGGGATAGACCAAAGCTCACCCCGCTACGGTCTGTCTGCTGCTGACGTGGACTTGTCGTTCACTGCCACACACCTAGCAGCCCCTGGGGATGCTGACTGGGATATAAGATGATTAGCTGAAACCACGGAGTTCCACTGGGCACTGAAGCCAGTCTGAAGGCACTGGCCTGGGACCATTAGGATCTGCTCAAAGCTGAGTTTTATCAGCCTGGTCCTGAGTTGCAAAACAGTCTTGTGATTCTTTACTGACTGCCAAGGTGGTAGGAGAGCTGATAGAGGTAGCCTCTCAGCTACTGAGGCAAGCCCTGGCTGGGTCATACCCGGGTCTCAGTCCCCAGGCCCTGTGCAGTTTAGGGGTGCACACCAGGCCCATGAGCATCTGGTGGTGATAGTGGTGATACAAACCAAGGCAAGTCTGTCTCACCAGGGAGTAAGTTTGTACCTGAGACTAGGGCAGCTCTGGAGACTATCCACAGACATGGGGCTAGGGGTGGAAACCACTGGGATCTGCCCAACATGGGGCTTTACCAGCCCAGTACTGAGTCCCAGGGTACAGTCCTGTGGCCTTTTGCTTTCTTTCTAAGGTTGGAAAGGGCAATAAAGGCAGCCCTCTGGCTGCCCAGACTGGCTCAGACTGGCCCAGGCTGGTCCTACCTGGGCCCAACAGTCACGGGTCCCTATAGAATCTAGAGAGAGTCTGCCAAGCCCCGCCCCGGGGATGGCGTGTCACACACAAGTACTGATCTCTGCCTGATGCTAGGCAAGTCTAGAGCTTAAGTATGTGAGCACCAGCGTGTGTGTTTTGTGGGGTGGCAGATACACGTGGTTAAAGCCTTAGGTCTTTATAGGTGCTGGAACTTGGCACAGCAGGTCCCGCTCTGATGTCTAAGACATGGATGCTAAACTCCCTCTCGTGGCTTCTCTGTGTGGCTGGAGGTTTGCTGTCTGCTGGCAGTTGGCAGGGGTGTGTGTGCCACAGGCCACCTGGCTGTGAAGCCTCCAAATATTCCAGAGGTAAGGGTCTGAAATTTTCACAGTGAGCCTGGCACTGGGATTGTTTGTTCTCCTTCTCCCAAGCCGGAGGTGTCTCTCCACGCCATGCTCCTTGGAGCTAGAGGTGGAAAGACACAGGCAGTTCTTTCCTTCTTGATTTCTTCAATGGGACTTTTCCCATGATTAGAGCAAAATGCGGCACTGTGGTCTCTCAGCTGGCTCTGTAGTTCTTGTCGAAGGTGACTTGCTGTGTTCACATCAGTGTCTCTGTGAGCAGGTGGTGGCCAGAGCTTCTTACTCAGCCACCATCTTACTTAGTCCCACCTTCAAGGATAAGGTGATTTTAAAAGCTGAAACGAGGGGAGGCCACTCAGAAACCCAAGGAAAAAATCAGAAACTGTAATATTTTGACAGGAATAAAAAGTGTAACAGATGTGTTAGAAGATAAAGATGAAGAAATCTCTTAGGAAGTAGAAAAAGGAAAGAAAAAAATGAAAAGAGAAGTCCAAGGGGTTCAAAAATCTAAGTTATACGTGTTTTAGAAAAAAAGAGAAGGTAACAACTATGAAGAGGAGGAAAGGATACGAGAAAATGTTTTTAAAAGTAAAGGGTTTTAAATCCCAGATTTAAAGGAATCTGAAGAAGTCTGAGTTAGTACTCGGGAGAGTGAGTGAAAAAACACAGAAGACTCGCAATGTATATCAACATGATAGCTGAATGCCCAGGACGGGAGGAGGTCCATAAAGCTTCCAGACTAGAAGTAAATAGGAAACACTCTGTGTAAGAGACTGTCCCACGGCGGCCTGGGACTGCTCAGCAGCAACGCTAGCAGCTGAGAAGACCATGGAGGAGGCCTGTATTTCTAACACGTGAACACGTCTGTGTTAAGATTCTTCAGAGAAGTTTTATTTTAAGGACATGTACTGATAAACTTAGCTAAATGCATTTAAAACAAATTTTGGAGAAAAATCAACATTCTGTATCTGTACACGCAATCCTCTGCTCTCCAGCTCAGCACAGTGCTAGGTACATATGTAACAATTAAGAAGTGTTTGTTAAGAAAGAAACCCATATTCAAAGGACACAGCAGTATTCACAAAGCAGACCACATGGGGGAGTGTTCACACAGCAAGCTGATGAAATAGAAACTGTTATCTGCTCCACTGCACATTTTTGTTTGGGAATCAGAATTGCTTGGTACTGTCTAACTGGATACTCCGCAATTCTAATGTTCTTCTTGTCTTCGTGTGATTATCTGTTAAATTATCAAACATGCATCTCATTCAGACTCGTGTGCATTGTTCGGTCTTCTTTTGGAGATAGCAGACTTCTTTAAGCAAAGGCCTTGTTTTCAGGAAAAAGCAATGTAACTTAAGAGTTTTTATGGACAGACTTGAAGCTATTTCTAAACGTTTCTCTGATAAAGCTTTTAAAATTTCCTGTGAGTATTTTCCATTTGGCTGCAGATATCCAGTCTGCCATTAGCTTTTCTAACATTTCTGACTTCTTTGGAATCATTCCTGTCTCTCTGCATTGTCCTGATATCAGTAGGCTGGTGTGTGTCCACACATGTAGGGTGAAATGTAACCACACAGCAATGCTTGATAATTATCATTTGGAAAATTGAAATACTATAATCCTCAGTTATCCAAATAACTTGCAGTCACCATTTTGTTTTTGTTGTGAATTTCCAGCCACAACAACCCTGAGATCCTCTTGTAGCACAGGATTATTCAGCATACTCAAATTCTCATGAAATTTCAAAACTATGAGAACAAAACAATCAAATTGTATATGCAAGAGCCATTTACAGTATTTATTTCACTTGAACTACAGTATGTTCTCAGAAGTTTTGATTCTCAAGGCTATTTTAAGTTTTAATTTTGAGTCTTCTCCTAGGTTTCGGGTGAGGAAATCTTAAAAGAGATCAAGTCATAAAGAGTTTATATCATGAAAACCATGAAGGCAATGATTGAAAATGTAACATGTTACCTAAATAGATTAAAATTCCTCTTACGAAATCTCTTTAGGAAGCAGACTGTTATGTTCAGAAATTATTGTGCACTGGTAGCTTCTAAATTTTCCCTTTTATTTTTTTAAAGATTTATTTACTTGAAAGTAAGAGGTACAGAGATAGAGGGAGAGACAGAGAGAGGGGTATTCCATCTGCTGGTTCACTTCCCAAATGGCCGCAATGGCTCGCACTGGGCCAGGCCAAAGTCAGGAGCCAGCAGCTTCTTCCAAGACTCCCACGTGGGTGCAGGGGCCCAAGCACTTGGCCATCGTCTGCTGCTTTCCCAGGTGCATTGTCAGGGAGTGAGATCAGAAGTAGAGCAGCCAGGATTTCAACTGGCACCCATATGGGATGCCAGTGCCACAAATGGTAGCTTTACCCACTATGCCACAGTACCGACCCTGGTCTCTAAAATTTCTAAGAAACATAAACAAGCAATTATTTCATTCAATAATTAGAATTCAAACCTGAATAATAAGCAAATGGCAGTCTTTGTGTCTCTACTTGTTTCCTAATTTTTCTACCATCCTGCCAGCTCTGTTACTTACATGTCAATGAACGTAAAAGCCAGGCAAACTAACATAAAGGAAATTATGTAGATTCTTATTGCAATGAATATTAACATCTAGATCAAGTGGCTAAAGATAATCATAGGGTGAAGAAAAGAGCCTTTAATTAAAAGCAAAATTCCCCAGTATTCTATCAACGAAGTACACTAAATGCACACCAGTTGCATCATGTTCAGGTGTGTGTGTGTGTGTGTGTGTGTGTGTGGTTGTTGTAGCTTATACATTCATTAACACAAATAACTTGAATAAATATGACCAGCACTGCGGCTCACTAGGCTAATCCTCCGCCTTGCGGTGCCGGCACACCGGGTTCTAGTCCTGGTCAGGGCACCGGATTCTGTCCCGGTTGCCCCTCTTCCAGGCCAGCTCTCTGCTGTGGCCCGGGAGTGCAGTGGAGGATGGCCCAAGTACTTGGGCCCTGCACCCCATGGGAGACCAGGATAAGTACCTGGCTCCTGCCATCGGATCAGCGCAGTGTGCCGGCCGCAGCACGCTGGCCGCGGTGGCCATTGGAGGGTGAACCAACGGCAAAGGAAGACCTTTCTCTCTGTCTCTCTCTCTCACTGTCCACTCTGCCTGTCAAAAAATAAAAAAATAAAAAAATGAATAAATGTATGTACTTTTTCATAATTTTTCTATTACAGTTAAATATGAAAGGATTAAATTCTTGGTGATTGCCTTAAAGAATGCTGTGGAGATATATGCTTGGGCTCCTAAACCATATCATAAGTTCATGGCATTTAAGGTAAGCAGGCATGTGCTTATTCTTTTTATTTTCAGTTTCTACCACTTCTGTTTTCCACATAAGCCGGCACCAGTTTTCCTATGTTTAAAAGCCTGATTTACACATATAGGTACTCTTCATTGTTTTAAACCACTAGAAAATTCTGTAAAGTTATTCAAAATTGAAATTTGTATGCCTGCCTCTATTTGAGGTCTGTGAATCATCAACTTCAAGCGCAAATTAATATGGGATAGTTACTGGGCTAACCATTGTTAATGATAGTATTCAGTACTTGCCGTAAAGCTACCTGAACTAGGGTGCTGATATTTTGTCTGAAAAGGGCAGACCAGTGGCAGCACTCAAGGTTGAATTGAGTCTCCAAATACTGTAATCCTCCTAAATTTTTCTGGGTAAAGTCACGAAAACTCAGGATGCCCATAAATCCACACTGCTATTAGACTTCTCTGAAAGGAATACTGAAGGTGGCCTAGTTTCTCTGTATTCTTCAGTTCTGATTGCCTTTTCATTTTTTACTTTGAGTCCATGGTTGGACTGGTTACTCATGAGATTCAATAGCAGCGGGATGGGGAGAGTCTAGCTCTGTTGATACCAGTTTATGAAAGCTGACCCCTAAATGCTAGGAAGACCAGTACTTGCAGGCACCTTTATGCGTTCAGTGCTGCATGGCCCATCCACAGCCCATGGGACCTAATCTGTATTCTCCACTTGCTCCATATCTCATTGCCACTCACTTTTTCTCCCTTTGGCTCGTTACTCATCTCTTTATTCATTGTTTCTTGCCACATAGGGCACATGAGGGCAGAAGCTGCCCTTGGAACACTACATAGATCTTCTCTGAGGCTTAATCACCCCACTTGTGTCTTGTTCCCCTAGTACAAGTAGATCATTTGTGATGTGCTCAGGAAGATCAATCCATCAATGGAAATGGGCTCACATCCATAGGCCCACTTTTATGGAATGAAATTTTGGTAATATATTTTAATAATAACACTTATGAGGTGACTCCTAAAAGCTAAAGTGCTGCTGCTGTTCTGGCAAAATCTCTATTTGCAAAAAGATTGTTAATCAAAATCCTATTCTCATTCTGGTTCTGAATAGCCAAAGCACAAAAGACTGCAGAATGCTATGTTCAGCAGACCAGACCAGGGCCTGGAAAGAGGAGAAAAAAGGCAAATGCAAGTGCTTGAATCAGGACTGCATATCTAGCAGGGGTCAAGAAGGCCAGGAGGCTACTGCTTCTGATGCTGTGAATATGATATTAGCAAAAGACAAGCAGAGAGGAGTCTGTAAGGGGTAGTGATATTATTGTCAAGGTGACTATGGTTTCTCAAATCTCCAAGATTTCAAGTCTTTTCAAATAATGGCAAAGGCAAACACTTGACATCTACTTTGGGTTGGGCCCTGGATCAAAGCACACAGAACCTTGATAAACCTGGCAAGAGCTTTCTTTGTTCTGTCTCCAGTTAAATTCTAGTAGGCAGAATAAGCCGGAGTCGTGTGACGTTCCACCTCTACCTCTTTCTGTTACCTACACCCAAGTCTCAGATTGCAACACTGAGTTTAGAGATAATAGCACTTTGACACCCACTTAATCTCTGAAGGACATAGTACCCAGAACATGCCCATTAACGCTGAGCAGGCTGCCTGCCCAGGCCTGCTGGCCACATGGGAAAAACAGCCCAGAGAGACGTCTGCACTTTGTCCAGAGGACAAACAGCAGAAATAAACAGCAGAGAACAGCTGTACCCAGTCACCATGTTTTTTTAAGTCTACAGTGACACTATCAAAATTGAGAGCTGTAAACCTTCGTCCTATCCCTAAAGAGGAAAGGAGAAAGGGGCATAAGTAGGTGCTATACTCCTTCTTCTTAGAGCCTGAATATGAATAGCCTGAAAAGCTAAAGAGAACTCTCCTAGCTTTTCAATTTAAGAAAGCCACAAATTAACTTCCTCCTGATAATGTCTAAAGGAAAAAATCCTGAAGATAACCTCTTTGAATGATGTAGATACTAATGGGGTGATTTTTAAAGTCTTTTGCAGATCTCCAGCACAAGCCTCTGCTAGTTGATCTCACCGTAGAGGAAGGTCAAAGATTAAAGGTTATTTTTGGCTCACACACTGGTTTCCATGTAATTGATGTTGATTCAGGAAACTCTTATGATATCTACATACCATCTCATGTAAGTTCCCAGAAGCCTCTGCAAAAAGATTTGTTTCTGTATAGAAATCATGCATTTACTAATCAGTAAAGCACATGGGTCTTTGGCTCTTGCTGAGTAAACAGAATGTTTTTAATACCTAAAACATGTAGATTTAACTAATTTTTACAACTTTGTAAAACTGAGTAACGTAATAGAATTACTTGATACTCTATGTGTTATCTCTTTGGATGTTAGATTAAAACCCTTTGATATTTTTCCCTCCGAGCATAAATTTTTCAAAGTAGCTCATTTTTAGTTTCTGAAGAGAGATTGGTTCTTTTTATGTGGAAGAAAGCGAATGCCCAGATAAGAATTTCTTGGAGGAAGTCCTTTATCTGCTGTTTTCACTTCAGCCTCAGAGCAGTATGATGTCCTAGCGTGAGACACAGGAGCTTATACCCTGGCTCTGTAGCATGTGTTAGCTTTGTAATGGTACATTAGGTAGCCTCTCCAACCCTCAACTTTCACGCCTTAAAATGGGGGTAAAAGGGCTATACCACAGAGTAATCATCAGCACAGAATGAGGCAATGGACCTAAAATCCTGGCAAAGGACCCTCCAGATTGCTCTTATTTACAATAGAATAGTCAAATCCCTGTAAAGGCATGTTACTTCAAACATGACTCTTAAAGGGAAATGCAGCACCTGAATCTCCTTGGAAGAACTGGTAGAGTGCATGCTGTTTGCCTTGTATGTAACCCCAATACTGAATTACAGTAGAGACTGTTTATCAGGCAAGTCTGAGGCCTAATCTGTTGCTGATTGATTGGTATTTTTGAGAGTTTGAAGATTTCTCTCTAAAGAAACACATGAATTGAAAAACCTTGTTTTAGTACATTACACACATATGGGCACACAGAGTTGTCATTGATTGCACAGTACAGCTTTTCTGCTTGTGCATACAAGGACTCCCAGCATCCACTCTCAAGCAGCAGCTGGGCTCGGCATCACTGTGTTCATCCGCAGTGACCTCCTTCTCATCCGCACTTACACGCTGGGCTGCCATGACAGGCTCACCCAGGGGATCTCAGCACCATGCTGTTCCTCCTAGTGCAAGCCCATTGACACATACTAGTGTGATTTTGAAATGAGTGGTTCAAAACTGTTTTCTAAGAGAGCCATCAATTTGGACTATTCCGGTAGGTAGGCAACCAGATAAATAATCTGTTGTACACTCACAGCCTACTTAGTAGGAGTCCATATGGGCATCCCATTTAGGCCATCTCCCTCAGATTAGTTGATTCGTGTGTTCCTAATCATTTTAGAAGTACCTGTGCTAATGAAAAACTCATAGAATTTCACTGTGAACAATACATATGGTCAAATCTCAATTCTACCAACAAATACAAGCACAGCTTTGATCAAGTTATATAACCCTTTTGATTTTAGGAACAGGTGAATTGGATTTCCATCTAATAACTAAGTTTGTATTCACCATGGTTTTTTTGACACATCTCTGGTCAAAGTGAATTTTAAACTCTAGAATGAAAATGGAAAGAAAAACTGTTTATTGCAGTTCTTAGAGATGAATAGTCAAGATGTTATCTTATTTTTAAACAAATAATGGTTGGCCTTTCTTTGTCTTCTAGATTCAGGGCAATATCACTCCTCATGCTATTGTCATCTTGCCTAAAACAGATGGAATGGAAATGCTTGTTTGCTATGAGGATGAGGGGGTGTACGTAAACACCTATGGCCGGATAACTAAGGATGTGGTGCTGCAATGGGGAGAAATGCCCACGTCTGTGGGTAGGTTAACCATTCCTTATCTCCTTCAGCAGTTACACCCCCCAAATGAAACGAAAATCAAGAAATGTGAAACAACCATTTGATTCCACAAAAAAAAAAGTCTGTGAATAACACTTGTAAGACTTGCTTTGTCTGTTTATCTCAAATCGTTTGTCATTTTTGTGGTTAAGATGTGAACAGATGCTGTGAGTTATTGCCCATCTAATGTTTTTAATGCAGTTTTGGAAATTCCTTTTGACAGCCTACATTCATTCCAATCAGATAATGGGCTGGGGCGAGAAAGCTATTGAGATCCGGTCAGTGGAAACAGGACATTTGGATGGAGTATTTATGCATAAGCGAGCTCAAAGGTTAAAGTTTCTATGTGAAAGAAATGATAAGGTAAATCCGTTTCAACATTTGCATTAGTGTTTGCATTTTAAGAGACCACCAGGTACCTGTGAAACCTTCATTTTCCTTTATACTGATTTGAATCACATCTGTGTTAAACAATTCAGTATCTTGAAATGGCATTATTTGGTTTGATTCATGTGAACACTTGAAACATATTACTCACATATCAAAAAAAGACATGAAGATATATAGAAATTTTTTGTAAACTCTTAGCAACTTTTGTGTCCTGCAAGCCGTTTGATGACTCAGCACAAGGCCCAAATTATCTGAAGCACTTAGAGCAGCTGGCCCATCATTAATCACCTCACAGTGGGTCAACTTTCTATTCCGTGTTTAGACTTTCCACAAAGGCACTGCGGGACTACCCCATCATGTTGCATTTACCTTTCAGTGTGAAACATTTGATGTGTAGAAGTGTAAACTTTTTAAAAATGTCACCCATTCCTTAAGAAATGCACAATCGCAAACTCAACTAGTGCCATGTCCTGTGTCATTCCAGCCATGTTTCCTCTGAAATGTCGTAGGGGGACTGTGTTCCAGTGACATTGGCTGTGTCCATCTAGTGTGATCTGGCGTGATCAGTCACCTCAAGGGGTATTGTGCAGCAGTGCTGTTTCTACCCTGCCCTCTATAACATAACCTAGAATGTTTAGTAGCTAAGCTGTACTACATTTGTGAAGTCATCCTTTGTGGCTGTGGCCAAAATAGAAATACTGTTCCCCAAACAGCTGTACAAAGATGTGATGTGTTGAAGTACTGTACATCTCTTAGTCCATTCTAGTTCCCCAGGGGCAAGGCTGGTGGTGTAGGTCTAGACTATATGAGACTGTGGCCAACGACTCTTCACCTGGTGTGGTCTGGGGTGATCAACAGTTGTGGGTTTCCAAGGTGGTTTCAGGGACTTAACAGAGCAGGTTAGAAAGTAAAACTTAGTAAAACTCCAGTACCCACTCAGCCTCAGGAATAAGAAGACTAGGAATGATCTGACTGTGGAGACCCACCCCGGCCGTCCTGATCCCAAGCTGTGCCACACCCTCAGGCATAGGCTGGGGACCACACCAGTGTCTAGAGCCCTAGGCTTAGAGCTCAGGACACACAGCTTAGAGAGAAAAGCAGCCCTTTCTTCCCCTCATTGTGGTTTTCCTTCTGTCCTTCCCGGTCTTGACGCACTGACCCTAAGAGTAGCTTTAATTTCATATGTAGCATTAGCTGACTGACAAGCATTTCCACCAGACTTCCCAACAGAGTTGTTGGAACAGAGCATTCTTCTGAAGAAGTTGTGGAGATGAAGTAGCAGAGACTTTATACTAGTGACAAAAGCAAATGCCTTGGACCAAAGTTAGATGTTGGCTGATTGAAGGGCTATGCCACAGCCCCAGATAGTTTCCGGGGCAGTGGTTCATTTACATTCAGCTCAAGTAAGCGGCAACCCAAATTCTGCTCATTTCTCTCAGTTGTTTGCTAAAATGATTTAGCAGACTCAGACCTAATGGACTGTGGTTCTCCTTATTAATGCCATTATCTCACCTGGCTTAGGATCTGCCGACATCAGCAGAGAGAGCCACATGTGAACTCTTGACATGCCAAAATGAATAGGCACTAAACACCTGATCCCAATTAAATTTAAATGCTCCCATTTAAATGTTTTATATTTAATTTTTTTTAATTGAAACTGAATTTGTATAATAGCCAGTAGGCTCAAAATTCCCCCTTGATTTTGGCAATCTGAAAGGATTCCTTTCCATGCTAAAGCCTGCCGCCTTGTCATTTATAGGGGAGAGAGGGGAACCTCTGTGCCTTTCTAGAAATTAACAAAGGACCCATTGTGTCCTAGGTCAGAAATCCAGCATGTTAATCTAGCAGGAAAACTCCCTTTTAAAATGTGAGCACCCAAAGGGATGTCGCAAATGATGATAGAGCCCCTTCAATTCCCTGGAGGCCAATACACCAGAGTGTTTACATAGGATGCACTATATCAAAAAGCACTTTACAAACACCAGCCATTGGCACATGACAAGAAATAGGACATGTGAGAGAAAATGGATGGACGGTTGAAGAAAAGAGGGGAAAAAAACATGCAGTTGAACTAACTTCTTTTTAATTTCAAACAGGTATTTTTTGCATCCGTGCGATCTGGAGGAAGTAGCCAAGTGTTTTTCATGACCCTCAACAGAAATTCCATGATGAACTGGTAACAGAAGAGCACTTGGCACTTATCTTCATGGCATTATTTCTAATTTAAAAGAACATAACTCATGCGGACTTATGCCAGTCTAGAGGCAGAATCAGAAGGCTTGATTGAACAGACAGCTTTCCCCTCTTCCTCTCCCTCCACCCCTCCCAACAGTCCGTCTTTCAGTGTTGCAGCCTGGTTGAGAAGGAGAGAAAAAGGTGGCAAGAATTTCCAGGAGATCCCCAGGAATGCGGCGTTGTCTACAAAGATGGACCATGTGCCCTTCGGAGTTAGGGGTAGAAACAAATATTGTGTGCTCTTATGATTAAGCTGTGTTAGATGGGTTTTGAATTTTTGTGTTTTTCGGTTTTGTTTTTTTACCTTTTCTTTATCCCCTTACTTTGTTAAGAATGGGGAAATGATGCATACTGAGAAAATGAGTCTGTTTTTAATTGTCTGCCTGCTAGTTTTAAGTATATGATGTTGTAAAATTTCCAATTTCCGACGGTGAGAGACAGCACAATAAATGTACCTTATCCCCTTACCCTGAAGGCCATAACTGCATAATGGGGTAACTTAAGAACTCTTGCCTTCACCAATCCAGAGGTTGCTTTTTAATAGCAACTGGCTAATGAATTTTTGAGAAGAAAAATACTAGTTTTCCCCTCTTTTGGGAAATAGATTTTAAATGGCTAAACTACTAGCCTTAATCTAATAAAAAAATCAACTGTGACTTTTCTGAGTCTGACAGGCCATACTTTTACGTGGCCCTTTATGAAATAGAGTGTGTTGAATGGGATAGTAATGGCATTGAGGTGAGTTGGCCCTAGCAATGGAGGGACTTCTAACACAACGTCACCTCAGCTAAGTGCAACAGATCAGGGAAAAAAGACGTGGTGGAAGATGAGGTCAGACAGAAAGAGCGACTAGGAAACAAGCCTGCCTACACACACACCCACCCACCTACCCCACCCCCACACTTTTGTAAAATGCACAAAGCCTCCTGGCTAAGAAGTCACTTGGTTTGGGCTTCATTAAGATGGAGACTGTTCTGAGAATTGGGAAGGGGGGTGGGTAGGTAAGATGACATCCGGGCTCTGGACTTTCCCAGCTCTCTCCTTGGGGTGCCACTTTCTCAAGATGAAAACTGTGACTGAAAAAGATGAATAAGAAATGTTTCTGAGCTGCCTGTGTTCTCCCTGGGTCGGCGAGAAAAGGGACTAGACTCCTAAGCCTGCTTCTAACACAGCAGGCAGCATTGCCTCAGATTTTAGAGAACTTGAAAGCAAGGCTTTAGCCAAAATTCTGAGACCCTAAATCACTTTACCTTCCTCCAAATTACCCGACATCCGGTAAGCGACATTTGTGCAGAGATATGTATGTATTTAGTTCAGGTTGACTCTTGTGTCCTTCTAAACTCTTACTCGGATGATTTAAACTTCTACGTGACTGTCTGGGATTTCTTTTTTCCAAAGCTCCAAGCATGGCCGCCCGTGGTATCGAGGTGTTGCAAAACGATATCTGTGTTGCGCTTCCTGTTTTAACCTACCTCGTTTTGTTTGTTTTTGTTTCACTGTTCATCACAGCAGTGTTATCTCCAGGAGACATATAGAGAGCTCAAACGGCAATCTCAGGTGGTATTTCATATTTCCTTAAAAGGCAGTAGTTGGCCAAATTGTTCATAAAAAAATTGGAAAAAAAATTTCAACAATGAAAATTAATGTAGCTTGTTTCCAGAGAAAACAATTACAGTAAGTGGATCCAAAAAGATATGTGATCCTACTGATTTTGCCTAAATCCATAAGCAGCTGATGTGCTATTAATGAGAACGAAATACGTATTAGGAAAATGGAGCCATTTCAATCTGATGGTTTGGGTGAGGGTTTGGGGGCAGTGAAGGAGAAATATTCTGGTTTCTGGATTAAATATTTATGCTCCTCCTGGAAAGGTGGTTATCATTTGCATTTGTGTTAACCAGGAATCTTAGAACTGCAATTGAGGATTATTTTCAAGCTACCCCAGATGTCCTCATCATGGTCCCTTTAGCACTCAAAAGCAATGAAATCCTCCCGTTCTCATTTTTACTGCTGTGGTCGTGCTGCTGAACAATATGATCTTCACAAATTTCATGTGGCAAATTTAGCAATAACTTTCTGGATTGAACTTAGCAACTACTGTAATTGGATGCTGACGTGGACAAAACACGTTGATTTGAGTTTCATCCCCAAATGTGATTGCCACCAGCTCTTTATATTGCTGCTGTGGTATTTTAAACCAGAAGCTTCTTTAAATTATGTTGCAAACTGATCTTTTATGTTTTGTTTTGTTTTTATTTTCTAAGTGATAAGTTCGAAACACACAGCTTTAAATGATTTTTTTATTGTGGGATTTGGGTACAGTTAAGAAATAAAAGGGAATCATTGTGTTTAAACATAAGGTAGTTTGTGAATGTATTTTTTAAACTCTAGATTCATTGAAACAAAATCATAAACAATATTAATGCAGTCTTGTTTACAGTATGTACAGTGACATAACATAGAACATGAGCTTTTCTGGTGCCAACAATAAAACACAGACGTTAAACATCAAGCCATGCCTTTTATATTTTTGTACAAGCAGTTTACACTGAGCACAAAGCAAAACAAGTTTGAAAGAGCCCCCACAAGTGTGTGCTCCTTGAGAGACACTTAAAGAGAGTTACTGGAAGCCTTTATCTTCCAAAACTCATTTTCCTCCATCAGGCCAGTCCCTAACCCTGACATCGTAAGGCCCAGGCCATGCAGAATATTTCAGAGTGGTGTCCTTGTGGCTCACACAATTTCCAAGTTTTTGGTTTAATTCCTTTTTTTGTTTTGCAGGTGTTGGAGGGTTGCTCTTCATCCATCTTAATAAACATGTCTTTAGTTAGTGTCCATCTTCCTCCAGGGAATTTTGTCTCTAGAAATTGGCTCATTTTATTTTCTACAAAAAGAAACCAACCCCTCTTCCCAAAGTAAGTTTCTTCCAGTCCTTACTGCTCTAAATTGATGTATATGTGGTAAAAACCCACTGGCCTGGGCATAATCTTAGTCCGGGGTCTGGTGGGTGACCTTCCTGTGGTACATCAGGTATATATATTCCTGGATGCTAGTCAGGGATGCTGTATTGTGAATTCCTGCATCCACTGGGTGGTAGAAATGGATGACCTGGAAGGCCTATTTAGATAATGAGACCATTATCATTGCACACAATATAAATGAAAATTTGCACTAAGTTCCACATAAAATCTAATGGCTCCATTTCCTCATTTTTTTGTAGAGGCTTTGAACCATTCTTCAGGAAGACCTAATGCTACTTACTTATTCAGCAGGATACATTAAGGTATAGGCAAAATCCCACAAGGCCACTTGACTAGGGACTCCACTTTTCTAATATTTTTGACTACTGCTTTCTCAGACACACTTCTAGTGCACCTTGCATCAAATACATGTTTTTTTAAAAAGCATCTTAATTCCTGGTTGTCAACCTACTAACAGTTTTCTGTCTGCTCTGTGACTCATTGGTAACTGCGTCTCTGCTACCTTTGCTGCCATGGATTTGAAAGGGGGTGTGAAACTCAGGACAGAGCCATTGTGGTTTCATCCATTGCCAGGCAAGGAAGTGGCTGAAATCTGGCCTCAGGTTCCATGACGTTGAAAAGGAAATGCTTTCCCTACTATTCCGTGTACAGATTGCCATCACTGTTTCCTTGAAACGTGGACAAGCTCTGTGTGTCAGTATTGTGTGCTGTCTTTGAAAGTCTGCTTGAACAGGCATCACTTGCATTTGTTCTGGTTGCTGCAAGATGTGAAATGTGCTACATTATTTTTCAGAGAAAAAATAGCTTTGGTCAAACTGGAACGTGCACAGGAAAACATGAGAAAATCCACACCATGCTGATAATTCTGAATGACCCTAAAATGCTTCCTCTATTCCAGTATCTCCTCTGAAAGGATGTTCTGACCATCACAATGGTTTTTCTTAACTTAGTTACATATTGGTTCGTTCCTTAAACATGTAAATCTAGCCAAATCAAAACATTAACCAACCAAAACCTGGCCTCCTCTTAGATGAGTTATAACACAAAATCTAAAATCCCAAAGTCTAGATTTGATGCCATTTTATTCCAATATTTCTCATAAATGCTACTGCCTTTTGGCTTTGGTCAGCAATATCAGGAACCCTAAAGTGTGCAATCCTTTTATGGGTCTCCCATAAACCAGGCATAAACTGATCTCTTTTCAGGAGCACCAGCAAAGAAGAAAATTTGAGGATTTTCAGATTTACAACTGACAACTTGTACATTTCTAACATTTTCTAGTGTTCAGACTTCTATTCTGTATCATTGTTCTGAAAATTTCCTCACGGACAACTCAAATATTCAATAATTTGCATAGCATTCAACAGTAAGTGATCATAACATTGTGCTTTGGACTTGACTTTTTTCATGCAGATATACCACCCAGGAAGTTGCAGAATGCACCAAAATAAAAGTCCCCACACAAGCATTTTTAAACAAAAGTTTGAGCTATCTTAAATCCAGATAAAAATCATGGATTGTATATCCAGGAAGCCAAACATTTGGATGAAAACTGTAAAATGCAGTTAAGAATAAAAGTGCTTACAGTTTCCAGATGTCTGATTTTGGGCAGATATCTTCAAACTCACTCCTTGACAGATAGGGTTTGGTTTTCACGGTTTATTTTTATCAGCACCAGGTTACATTGCATTTTGGAGGCTGAGCAAATGCTGGTGGACAGGTGAATGTTCATCTCCAGCAGTGCATCATTATTTGTACATAGCAATTACCTGTGTCCCCGTCCCTTTCCTTTATCTCTTTCGTGGGCTAAGTGTTAGGGAATGGTACTACTGCTATTGTTCAAGAAACCTCCAACATTACTGTAAATCATGATTTCAAATGATCAGTGACAGTAGTGGGGGGAAAGATGACAGACTAGATGCTGTAAAACTACTTTTATAGGTTTTGGGTGTCTTGTCTACAATGTTAATATGACTGCAGAGCTGCCAAATTCATTCTGGAGGGGAAAACTCAGTTTGCCAAGTGTTAGTGTTTATATTTTTTCAATCTCCAGTTTTCAAAAGTGTTTTAAATGGTCAAAGTTTTGCTGAAACTGGATATAGCGTCACCTGTGTGAAGATAAAATCCTAGCACATTTTCCAGTCAGAAAATTTTGATTACTTTCCAGTCATTTTTTTCCTTTATATAAAGTGCTTCAGGAAGTACTTTTCACGGTTGGTCTAAGCAGTAGTTGGAAAATGATTTAGTACATTCTAAGCTTACCCTGCCCCATAACTAGAGAAACTACTACCTTGTCCTAGAATATTATTTTCTGCTATCTCTGTCAACATGTAAATAATAAAACATCAATAGTAGTAGGCTGCCTGCTTGTTCCTCATCACAACTTCCTGACAGTGACTCCTCCCTCTTCCTAAATACCTGCTGTTTTGAAGCTCTGGCTATGAAATCCACTCACGCCCCCTCACTGCTTGAAGATTTTAGTTCTTGGCTCACTATCACTCTATCACCACCTTTTTTAATTATTGGGGATTTTGATATCCACTTCAACAATCCTACAAATAGCCTGGCATCTCAGTTTCCTGATCTTATCCAGTGAAACTATTACTACTCGGAATAATTACACTGGTTCCTTAAATGACACTGGGCCATTGTTCCCATTTGTTAGACGGCTCCCATCTGAACTCACCAAATAAAGGCATTGCCACAGCAGTTGCTCCCTATCTTCTGCATCACCAACGTTTCTCATTCTGCTCAAGGATTTCACTACATTCCTTATACCCATCCTCCTTGGCCCCTCTTGTTTATCTGCTTTCCAACACAAAATGCCCCCAGGAAGAATTTTATACACTTGCAGTATCAAATTTCTCCCCTCCCGGGGTCTTTTGAAGCAATTCAAACCAGGTCTTCATTTTCGCTACAGAGGCTCTTGCTAAGGACACAAATGATCACCACACTGCGGGTTGCTGTGATCGGGTCTCGGACTTTCTGCTGTTTAACTGTGGTCTTTGACACAGTTAATATCTACTTCCTTCATGAAATTCCTGCTTGGATCTGGGACATCCTTCTCATGTTCTCTCACCTCCCTGGCCATTCTGTCTCAGTCTTCTATGACTTCCTGGATTGCCCTACTAGTAGACATCTTCTATCTAAGTGATCGCTTCCAGTCTTGGGACATTAAAAACCCTCTGTACACTAAAAACACATTTTTATTTCCAACCCTGCCCTCTTTCCTGAATACCAGATGTATATCTAACATCCTACTTAGCATATTAATTTGGATATATAATTGGTATTTCAAACTTGACATGTCCAAAACTAATTTGCGCCCCAACCACTAATACACTCCTACTGCAGTTTTCCCTGTATCAGGAAATGGCAGCTCCATTCTTCTACACCAGAAGTTTGTTACCCTTAATTTTTCTCTTTCAGATATCACATATAACCCACTACATTTTAAATCCTGTTTTTCTTAGCTTCAGAATATACCAATAAACTCACCTTGGTCCAAGCCATTTGTTGATTGAGGTGAGACTTTTAAAAACATACACCCAGGTGAGCATTTAGCTTACTGGTTAGGACACCAGTTTAGATGCCCACATGCCATAACAGAGTGCCTGGGTGTAAGACCTGGGTCTGGCTCCTGACTGTAGCTTCCTGCCAATGCAGACCCTGAAAGGCAGCAGTGAAGGCTGAAGTGGTTGGGTTCCTGCCACTCCTGCAGGAGACATGGATTGAGATTTTAGTCCCAGCCATTGTGGGCATTTGAAGAGTGAAGCAACCAATGGGAGATTCTCATTTTCTCTCTCTCTCTCTCTCTCTCTCGCACTCACACTCACAACTTCTTTCCCTTCCTATTAAAAAAAAAAAGTTATGCTGTTTTTCCACTAAGTTCCTCAAAATCTTCCCATCTCCTGAGCACGTCACCATCCTTACAGTTTAGTCATCTGCTCCACCCCAACCACCACTACCACCTCGCTACTTCATCTATCCCCCTTGGTCACTTTACTCCAGCCAAGCTAGCTGCCTTTGCTTTACTCAAAATACTCTCAAAGCAGGCTGCTGTCTCACAGGCAATGCCTTCTTATTTACTCAGTCAAGAAACCTCTTCCCCAACTTGTCTACTTGGCTTGCTACTTCCCTTCCTTTAGGTCTCTACACAAATACTCCTTTGCTATCAAAGATATATAAAGTCACTGCCAATTCTCCACTCATTGTCTGCTTTATTGCTGTTCACTGCAATTACCACCATCTACTTTGCCATCTAGTCTTCAAAATCCTGGAGATGGACCAAGAAACAAACAGTAGATAATAGTACTGGAAGAAAGAATGAAAACGATAGGGTTTGGTAATTTAAAAAGCTTAGAAACAAATGGTTATTTTCACTTCAATATCAAAACAAAAAGGTGTCTCCAAAGTCTATATCATAAAAGCATGGGTTTGCTTTCATGTAGACAGCCCAATAGATTTTCCTTGCTGAAACGCTATTATGGATAGAGGATAACTGGCTATGACCCTGCATATACTTTCTTGCAACATAAATCATCTTAACAGACCACGCTGCAGGATTGGAAGAGCAGCTATCATACAGAACCTTGAAAACAGCATTTCAAAACTCCTATACTTACACAGACAACGACCCATTTTAAGTTACTGTCATTGCACTAAGAACAGAGTTTGGATGTGGAGAGAGGATGCTGAATTTTGCTTTCTGGTCTAAATGTTCAAAAGCTACACGAGTTTTTTGTTTTTTGAAAGAACCAAAAGAAAACAGTAGCCACCTACCAAATGCAGCTTCAAAAAGTATAATGACATTTGAGTGATTCCCAAGTGACAGTAGTCCTGAGGCTTTCCTGGGAAACCTCGAACATCTGTATATATTCAGCTCCACTGACTGTTGTTGCATGAAATTTGCTGTAGGAAATTGACACATGCCTTCTGATAACTATGTTTCACTCAGTTGTAAAGGGCACACCTGTAGTTTAAATCTGTTCAATCATGTATTTTCCTGCTCATTTAATAAAGGAAATATTTTAAAAAATAAAGATAATGAAATGATGTAATATAAATCCATATAACAATGAAAGAACTTTTTCTTCTATTTTCTGTGTCTTTTCACCCATCTGTTGAGATTTAATTTATGCTAAATAACCAGGGCCAATATCTTAATTACCCTTTTCCAGAAACAAAGCCATTTAAGGGTTCCATGCTGCTTAACTGCAGATTAGTGAAGTCCAAATATAAGGAAAATAGATGAAATGGATACTAAGAAATGACCAGGGTGTCATGGCCACTGGGAGCAATCTAGACATCACAAGCTTCCATTGTTAGGATACAATACAATATGTGTTCAAAAGAGTTCTCATTTATGTGAAAACATTTTAGAATGTTTTTCTTTCAAAATTTTATCTCGAACACCTGTTTTTATATTTTCATGAGCAACTAGAAGCATGTCCTGTGACAGTAACAATTTTATATAGGATGCCTCCCTCCAAAAAGTAGTAAACTTGAATTCTAAAGTTCGAAGTTACCAAGTGCCAACATGAGGACATGGATCAGCAGCACCGTGGTTCTGACCAGTTTCCAGCCCTGCGCCCACTGCCCCATGATCTCAGGTTTTCATCTTTAACCCAGGTACCAGCACGTGGATTTAGAGCTCAAAGGCACCACTGGAGTAGAAAGAAACAACATTGCCTTTGTGTCATGCTCACGCTCTTCCTCCACCTCATCCATTCTCAACAGCAGGTGTTCACAACTGGAG